GCAAAGTTATATTACCTTCAAAATGGCCTCATCTAGTGGCCGAAGGTGTTTCCTCCTAGGTATGAATACATCTATCATAGGTTGACGGGCATTTAATGCTTTTTGAAAAGTAGTATGGCGATTTGAACTTTAGGGTCTACCGTAGAGACGTCACATCAATTAATCGTAGAGATATTTTATTTTTTAAAGATCTCTGTGTAAATGATCTTTCAAAAGAGGTTAGATGGGAGATGCCTTCCATTGGAGAAGAGGCCCACTATCCCTAACTCTCTTCCTGCAACATGTGGCACTTCGCCTAGGCCACGAAGGTCGACCTCTACATGGCACCTCAACAAAAGTGATGTATGACCTCGACTATCTTATGTGTGGCCTTACCTAGGCCATGTAGGAAGATGATGTAGTGTGGATATATTGATTTGCTTAGTCGACTACCACATTGTTGATGAGCTGGAACCTCGTTAGAAGAGGCATAACAAAATCCTTCCTTTTTGTAAAGTGGATAGACTGTGTATATGCCAAATTAATTTTCTTATAATAATAGTGACTGAATTTCTATGAAACTCCCTGTTTGAAGCTAGACAGCCCAACTAAGTTTGTCTTCATATTCAAGGAGTAAAGTAAAAGCAACCCATTAACAGAAAAAATACTTAGTTACTACATGGAGTACTATAAAAGAATAAATGACAAATTTCCATTTTTTCCATCAATATGAACCTCGTTTATAAGGATGACAACAGAGCAGGGCAGGATGACCTCTAAACCCTCGTTGGGGATTTCACCATCCCGTCCTTGCATTGATTATATTTAAGACTGGGCGGGGTAATCCTTGCCCGTTTATATTTTTTTCCTATTAGTTCAAGGATAATTTTGGAATTGGGCTAATGGACTAGGGTAATAGGTTCGAATTTTGGCATAAAAAAATTGGACTACGGTGATTTTATGCAAATTTTAATTTTTTTTAAAGAAAACTGCCTTGCTGCTTTGTTGGGACACACGGCCTGTGGCTTAGATTTTTCGGGGCAAATTGCCATCCTTACTCATTTCTGAATGAAAAAAAAGAGATCAATGTCCATTCTTATAGAGTACCATGTACTTTCCATTCACAAAGAATCATTGGTATAGATGCCATATAAAGATGCTATGCTGTAGGCCTGGACATCAAAACAGTTGAATCGAAATTGAATTGAAATAAGAGGTTTCAGTCCGGTTCCAAAATAAATAAATTTGGAACTGAAATCAAGAACTGACTAGATGCAAATTGGTTCTTATTCCTTGAACTAGAACCGTGAATACTCGAATGGAGCCTATTCTTTATATAATTTTTTAGTTTTTACAATTTATAGGTTGGGTAAAAAAATTAAGAAAGTAATTAACTTAAACACTAAATAGGTCGTGGATCTGGATTGGGTTGGGTTGGGTTGCGGGTTATAAATAAAACTTGCCCAACCTAGCTCGACCCCAGCCAATAAAAACATACAAAATATAAAAACTATAGTTATTGTCTAAAACTCTAAAGGCTCTAACACTAAGAAATCAAATTATTTGGTTGATTCGGGATAAGGATGTGTTGATCGTTACTGTTGACAATGTAAATGTAAATGATACGACAATCATTTATGTGAAAGAAAATTTGAAGAATTGAAAAGTCGATTGCATGATTTTGGGTGGTGTTTAGTAACCTGTTTGATTTTAAACATGTTCTAGGTTATTTGATTTTTAATGTTTGATTTGACCGCTATATACAAGAACATGATATCGCGCAATACTCAAACCAATATAAACCAAAGGGAAAACATGATGAAGAAGATTGTCTAGCCGTCACACATAATGCCTCAGATCTTCGACAGGAAAATTTGAGGAGTGCCTTTTTCCTTTTCTTCTTCATCCTCTTATATTCTTACTTATATTTTATGACATTCAGGACAATGTTGGTTTTAAGTTTTGGGGTGAGAAAACTTTGAGTTTTTACTTTTAGTATTTTTTGAGTGTTTGTGTATTTGTTTTTACTTTAGTATATATGAAAAAAATATATATATATTTTTTATCAGGCTGTGTGCTTGTGTGGATATGATGCATACTAAACTAATTGAGACTTAACCTTACAAAACTTGATATTATACGTGTACTAGAATTAAGTAGGACAGTGATGCTATGAGTTGATTTATATAATTGATAGGTTGATATAGTTGGATATAGATGTTTAACCAAAATCATACTAAATTATTTATCCTTAGATCAAATTTAGCACAGTTCGGGGGTGATTTTGCTGTTGTAGGAAGATACGGATGTGAACATTGATTTCATGTGTGAAAATTTTTGTGTGGATTGTCTTAGACTAAATGGATAAAATTGGGCGAAAATTTTAAGTTGGAGGTCGGTTTGCTTGAATATGTGTTTAATGAGGGGTATTGCACTAATCAGGGTGCAAAAATATATAAAAGACATCTCTTTGTAGCATTTATGACTCGAGTTATTAAGTCTGCTAGGGTATTTACAACTTGGTGCCCTAAAATCGTCTGATTTGAGAGTCATCGGCTAAAAGCTCGTTACATGGACCATATAAAAAGTTTAAGGAAAGAGTGCAAACACAAAAAAAATTGAAAAAAAAATAGGTGCATAAAACAGAAGATGCACAAAATGCCCTGATTAAGCCTCAAACACTTATTTGAGAAGACTTGACTTTTGATGAGGAATTATTAGCATAGTCTAGTTCTAGATGTCGAAGCATTGAAAGAATTGGAAAATCCTTGTTTATTGATGTGTTGACTTACAATTAGTAGAGTCCACCTGAATTAGAGAGATGATGAAATTCAACCTTAAATTATACACTGGAAAAAGAGTGAAAAAAGAACAAGTTTGAGAATGTGTGAACCATACGAGAGGTGAAATGATATCCTTGACCATTGAGGGTCGAAAATTGAAGCAACTTGTAAATTCATAATTATCTACTTAATTCTTCACACAGACATGTAAGTTTTGCATTGGAAGAGTGGATATTGGTTTGAAATTGTGACTTTGAAATAGTTTGTAGATTTAGTACTGTAATTTCAAATACTAAGATAAAAATTTAGATTGTCTAACCAAATATTTTGGCATGCTTGTGTGTTTGTTGTTATTTAAATTATAATTTTATTTGAGGACAGCCAAATATTTAAGTTTGGGAATATTTGATAAATGTATTTTATACACTTATTTGAGATCTAAAATAGCGTATTTGATAGTTCTTCTAACAAAATATATTTTAAATTGTTGTATTTTATGTTATATAGATAAAACTCAATGATTGAACAAGGAATCAACAGAAACAAGTGCAAATTGGTGAAAAGGGAAAAATCCAAAGTTTGATGACCAAATTATTCAATAGTTGATTCAGACACAAGAAGATACTTTGAATTTTTTTAGGAGATAATTGGATGAAATTAGAACTCAAAAGGAATTGAATATGATCAAAATATTATCAAAATCAATTTCGAATCGTACAAGTTATATTTCAGATTTTTGGCTAAATATTGAGACCCATTTTTGGCACAATAAACGTTCGAATTAGAAAAATTCTATTTCTAAAAAAGTTGTATCCCTTTGATCTAGATTTTCAACACACTTTGAATCGCCTCAACGGGATATCGGGAGAGAAAGTTATGACTAAAATATTACTGACTGCTGTGTAGAGACAAAAAATTCGAGCGCGAATGCGACTTTTCTTATTCGGTTGGATCTCTTTTGGAAACCAATTTGGATATGATTTTCAGCCAATATTCTATTTCTATAAATACCTAACAGCAGAATACATATGTGGGACCTTTGATATACATCTCATACTCCAATATTTATCATTTATTATAATCAAAGGAAGATAATTCACAGTTTTGGTGAGAGGATTGAAGGAGATTTATAAGAATTCAATCAAGTGAAGATTCAAATCTTATTTTTGGGTAAATAAGAGAATGTGCAAGTGGAGACTTAGCAAGGAACCATTGAAGAGATTCAAAATTTCAAGATTCACTTTCATCTTCTCAATTAATAAAAAATCCGAGTTATATCTTTTCACTTAAATATAATTTCTTGTAATTTCGACATGTTAGGCTAGTTTTATACATTGTTAGGATGAGATGAAGCTTTGTTTTGAAATTTTTAATATTAATTAATTATTTTGACGACTAGTATGTTTATTTTCTTGGATGTTTATTATTATTTTCACCGACTTTTTAATTAATTAGCTATTAATTGAGATGATTTATTGAAATCTATTATTATCGAGAGAGATAATAGATTTTTAGCTAAAAATAATAAAAATTGTAAAGTTCAATAGGGGATAGAGATAAACCTCTATACTTTACATGATCTTCATAGGTATTCTAGATCGTTTAATGCATTTATCATGTTCGCATTTTTCATCGAAAGATAAAAATGTCACATGAGGAGAATATATTTAATAACTATCGAGAGAGATTTTCATTTAAATTAGTAACACTGACCAACAAAATTGATTACAAATTGTCACTTTAATTCGTTGTGATAAAAATGAATTAACAAAGGGGATTCGATATCTTAGCAATACTTTCACATATTTTAAATCAAACCAAATAAATTGCTTTATAGTTTAATCGATAATTTAGATATTAGTATAGAAAATTCAAAATCTATTTGCTTTTCGATTAAGAGTACTATTAATTTGAACTCGGTCAAACACATAGTTCTTGTGAGTTCGAAACTCTATTTATCATTATATTTCTTGACCACGATCCCGCACACTTGCGAGTTTTCAAAGGATCACTTGTTACGTACAAGGATTGAAAGGGCTTGTGTGGAAATGTTTATTAAGCCCATTAGATCCCCATTTTTTTCATAATAATTTTTTTTATCTTCTTTTCAACCATACATTTTTCAATTAAATAATATCACACACAAGCCAAAAAATTTTCCTTCATTTTTAACTACATATTCTCCTTCAATTTAATATTTCGAAATGCATTCTATACTAAAAATGGGGCTCAAATAGATAAATGTGTTACAAAAATGTTATGGGTAGAATCGGAATAGGATTGACGGTTCGAGTTTGGATTTGATTTTGTTTACGAAATATCCAAAATGTAAGGGATAGTTCCAGGTATTGAAATATCTGGACCAACCCCAACCCCAACCAATTCCCGACCCCAGGTCTACTTCGCAGTTAAAGCAATGCTCATCAAGAAGATATATATGCTGAGAATGAATCGTAAAATTAACACTTTTTCAAGGACAAGATTGGTTTTATTGAAATTTTGCTGTCAAAAGGAATAAATACTCTCCTACAAGACAGACAGACCAATAATAGCTTGGAGCCAAATATCTTCTTTTTGAGGTCTTGATTCTTTTGATTGAGAAACAGTTTCACATGTTTCACTCAATTACAATATTGTACAAATCAAAAAACTTCTAGATTCATGGAGAAAATCTGCTTCCTCGTTGCTGCTGTTGCAGTGTTATCAGTGAACTGCTTTGCTCTTTACTCAAATACAGATGAAGAAGCACTTCTCGCCTTCAAAACCCGAATCACTTCAGACCCTTATGGCATCTTGGCCGATAACTGGTCGAATACTGCATCAATTTGCAACTGGATTGGTGTTTCTTGCAGCAGAAGTCAAAGAGTCACAGCCTTAAATTTTTCGGGGTTTGGCTTCACAGGCACCATTTCTCCACATCTTGGAAATTTAACGTTTCTCGGTTCTTTAGACATCAGCACCAACAATTTTCACGGTATAATCCCCCCCGAGCTTTCCAATTTGCATCGTTTGGAGGAGATAAACGTGGGGTTTAACAGCTTCATTGGAGAGGTACCTTCATGGCTTGGAACCTTACCCGAACTTCAGCAGATTCTTCTGCATAATAATAATTTCACAGGCAGCATCTCACCATCTTTATGCAACAATTCAAAGGTACGAATATTGCAAATGAGAGAAAATTCCATAAATGGAAATATTCCACAAGCGATTGGGAATCTTTCTGCCCTCGAATTATTAAATTTAAGGTCTAACCAGCTTATGGGGTCCATACCTTTTGGTATCTTCAACATGTCTTCTCTGAAAGTACTTGATCTCTCGATGAATAGCCTGTCAGGAATGCTTCCGGAGAATACATGCGATAGTATCCAAAAATTTACCGGACTCTATCTCTCAAAGAATCTACTCTATGGGCAAATTCCATCAAATATATACAAGTGCAGGTACCTCGAAGTCCTATCATTATCCTATAATCATTTCAATGGAAGCATACCAAGTGCAATTGGCAGCTTGACCATGCTCAGGAGTTTGTTTCTGGGGATAAACAACTTTGAAGGTATGATCGCATAATTATATTTCAAGACACTATAAGAATGCAGGAAGGAAACATTGTTGAACAACCCCATTAAAAAGCTTAAAGACATGTTTGGCAAAACTTTCATTTGATTATAAGTTGTGGGCCCTACAAAATGTGTGGATAATAAGTGTATTAAAGTAGGGGTTAATTTCATAAATGGTCACTCAAGTTACATCAAAATAACAAAACGGTCATTCAAGTTACAAAATTGCACTAACGGTCACTCAAGTATCACCCGGTTTCAAGAATGGTCACTGAAGGACCAAATGAGTCAACACTGAAACATGAGGACCTACATCGCAAATTTGCCAAAGCCCTTTTTTTCTTCCATTTTTCCGGTGACTTTGCACTGAAAATCCGGCACTGTCCGACCCCCTAAACCGCCGGAAATTAGTACCATTCGAAAGCACTCATCTTCCTCTTCAATTAACATCCAACATCTCCCAATTTCATCAACTTATGTAATCGGAATCGATGCTCAAAGTTCAATGCCCACAAATCTGAAAATCGCCAAATAAGTCAAGCTCCGATCGAAATTGTGGATGACCCATGCCTGGGCAAGCTGCTCTAGATGAATACGACCACGTCCATGGTGGTCCGAGGTCGGGGCTTGGTCG